ATCTCCTACCAATATACCAATCCATCTCACAATCAACCTAAAAAAATGAATAAATAAATAAAAAAACAAAAACAAAATCAAATCGAGGACCATCAAAGAATAGAAGAAAAAAAATAATGAAAAAAAAATATATATATATACATATAACATTTTTTTCGAAGTCTTCCCCTCAAAAGGCACCGTAAAACATGACGTAGAAAACAGTGTTTGTGTGTATAGTTGTGTAAATGATACTAGAGATATTATTTACAATGTACAGGTGTGTATACTTTGGATTAAAGTTTATTCGTGTGACTGGGATTTATGCAATTATTCTGTATCATGATTATTATTACCACTACAAATAAAATGTTTCTAATGTATTCTTTGGGTTTTCTTTGAACACTTTTCTTTTGTTTTCCTTTATTTGTTTGTTTTTTGTTGTAAAGTGTATGTATGATGCACTTATTGTCGCTTTTGTTATTATTCTTTTTCTCTTACAAGCATTATGATTATTATTGTTATTGTTGTTATTATTATTATTATAATAATAATAGTTATTATTATTATTATTATTATTATTATTATTATCATAACTATTATTATTATTATTACCATTATTATCATTATCATTATTATTGTTATTGCTATTATTATTATTATCATTATCTTTAAATACTATTATTATTATCGTTATTATTATTACTATCATTATCATTATCATTATCATTGTTTTTTATTATTACTACTATTATTATCATCATTATTATTCTATTATTATTATTACTGTTATTATCATTATTATTACCATTACTATTATTACCATCATTATTATCAGTAGTAGTAGTAGTAGTATTACTATTATCATATCATTGTCATCATTATTGCAATTATCATTATATTATTATTATTACTATCATCATTATTATTATAATTATTATTATTATCTATTATTATTATTATTGTTATTATTATTATTATTATTATTATTATTATTATTATTATTATTATTATTATTATTATTATTATTATTATTATCATTATCAGTAGTAGTATCATTATTATTATCATTATCATTATTATTATTATCATTACTTTTATCATTTTTATTATTATCATCATTATCAATATCATTATTACTACTTTCCTCATTTATTATTATCATTTATTATCATTATCATTATTATTATTATCATTACTTTTATCATTTTTATTATTATCATCATTATCAATATCATTATTACTACTTTCCTCATTTATTATTATCATTTATTATCATTATCATCATTCTTGTCAAAATCATTATCATTGTTATGGTTCTTACTATTTTTATCATTATTATTATTGTCTTTATTATTATTATTATTATTATTATTATTATTATTATCATTATTATTATTATTATTATTATTATTATTATCATTATTATTATTATTATTATTATTATTATTATCATTATTATCATTATCATATCAAAATCGTGATTACTATTAGTAGTATCATAAAAATGGTGATAATAAAGATAATGATGATAATAATAATATCATACAATAATGATAATAATAATAATAATGATTATAACAATAATAATAATAATGATAATAATAATAATAATAATGATAATAATAATAATAATGATAATAATAATAATAATAATAATGATAATGATAAGGATAATAATATTAATAATGATTATTATAATGATAATAAGGATAGAATTAATAATGATAATAACAATGATAATGATAACAACATTATTAAAGATAATAACTATGATAATAAAAATGATAAATGAAAATAACAATATAATATTATCATTATTATTATAATGAAAGTAATAGCAATAGTAATAATATCAAGAAGAATGATAGTAATAATGATAATGATAATGAATATGATAATGATAATAAAATAATAACTATCATTATCATTTTTTTTATTATTATTATTATTATTATTATTATCATTATTATTATTATTATTATTATTATTATCATCATCATCATCATCATCGTTATTGATACTATTATTATTATAATGATGATAATCATAATAGTAATAATAATAATAATAACAATAATGTTATTAATATTAGTAATACTGATAACAATAATGGCAATATTAATAGCGACAAGGAGGATTATGATAATAATGGTAATAATAACAATGCTGCTACTAATGATAATGTTAACTATAGTAACATTGACAACGATGATTACATAATGATGATAATAATGATAATGATAATTATAACCATAATCATAATCATTATCATAATAATAATCAAACTCATGATAATAATCATACTAATAACAGTAATAATGATAGTAACAAAAACAATGATTATCATTACCAATGATAATGATAATGATAAAAATTGTAATGATTATAGTAAAAATAGTAATAATAATGATGACGACAACAGTAACAATGGTGAGAGTAATAATGATGATAATAATGATAATAGTAATACTACTATTACTAATATCAGTAATAACAATAATGACAATAATTGTAATATTAATAATAAGAATAATAGTAACAATAATAATGAAACATGATGATAATCATAATGATACTAATGATAATAATAATAATAAGAGTAATAATAATGATAATAATAAAAATGATGATAGTCATAACCATAATAATGATAATAATGTCAATGATAATAATAACAATAATGATGATAATGATAATAATAATAATAATAATGATAATAATAATAATAATAATCCTCATCATCATCATCATCATCATCATCATCATTATAACAATAATAATAATGATAATGATAATAATGATGATAATGATAGTGGTAATA